TAAAATTACTGTGCAGTAGTCTACCGCGCAGCTCGAGTGGAAACGCGCATGCGTTGTAAAATTACTGCGCAATAGTCTACTGCACATCTCGATGACAGATAGATTTGCAGTATCGTTTCGGTCGTCGTTCGTCACGTGTTGGAATACTATTGTGTTTATATATAAATAGTTGAATTTATTTTACAATAGTTACATTTTTATCTTTTATACGTTCGTTTTTTAAACAGTTTCTATTGCATAATATTAACATTTAATCGTAATTGTGTTTCTAACATAAAAAATTTTAATTATATATTATTAATACAAAATTTGTTATAATGTCCCCACCTATGGAGAGGATCCAAGGTTTAGAAGCTATTGAAAAGGATATTATTGTGTGTTTGCAAAGTGCAGGTAAATTACAATATTTTATTTATTAAATATTTTTTTACTACTGTTGAATATATTTTGTTAGGTTAGATCATTATATATTTCTATCTCATATAGGTCAAGCATTTATGGAATTAAGTAAGGAAAAATCTAGTTTAAAACAAGCAGAAGCTCAAACACATCAATTTCTTAAAACATTAGCTCACGTGGAATCGAAATTGAGTGAACAAATTAATTATCTTACTCAAGTTTCAACAGGTTTGTAAATACTAGAATTCCTAACCTCAAAATATTAACAATGTCTGTACTAATTATAAAACAAATGAGAATTATTTTATGATCGTTTAGTAATTACAATGTTTTATATTTTTTACTCAATATAAGGTCAACCACACGAAGGTTCTGGATATGCAAGTCAAAAGGTTTTGCAAATGGCATGGCATAGGCTGGAACATGCTCGCAGCAGAGTTAATGAACTGGAACGCATAAAAAACAAGCCAAGATAAGAAATTTATCTATTTATAAAATCTCTACTGTCCAGGAGATATCAACGTGTATATTATAAAATGTAATAATTAATTAATATCTTATTTTTTTATTAAATCTCTAAATTTTTTTATTTCTTTTTTTTTTTATTTCATATTTCAAATCAGCTTTTTATTATCGATAAGATTTTAATATAAGACACAAATGGCGCTGATTTGATAATATCATTTAATTTACAAAGTATGTAAAATCAGCACATTATGCGAAAATTTATTTCGTTCATAAAAAGATTCATGAACAAGTTATACTATATAAAAATAGATAAATAACATTTGACTATCGCTTAATAATGTTATATATATTTATAATATAAATCTATGTCATAAATTTAAAAATATTTCATAACATTCCAAGTACGATGCATCTTTAAGCGCATTAAGATGCATGCGAGTAGCATTAAGTTAAATTCTAATTTGGTAAGTTGTTTATTTCCTGAATGTTAAATATTATATCCTTATGGTATGGAACTATCCATAGCAGCCATACTACGTTTTACAGTAGCAGCTAACGAAAGTCGAGATCTTCTTTCTTCATCTAATTGTTTAGTAAGTAATGACATTTGTGACTGTAGATCTGTCATTTGATTTTTTAAAGTTTTTACAGTTTCCGATAACGACCTAAACAAAATAATACACAACATTAGAATAAAAAAAAAAAAAAAGATAAATTCATAAATTAGAAATTAAAAATAAAGTCAAATAATATACCGGTCAGCGCTGCTATCCCAATTTACACCTTTCTTATGCGTAAAGGATGATGCATCCCGTGTTCTTTGCCATTCGACATCCACCATAGCTACAATTTCAAATTTATTCAAATAAATGGATTATACATACATACATACAAATAAACAATATGCAACAAAATAAATAGTACTACAATTACAAATATGTTTTAAATATTAAGATATGGTAATGATGACATAACACATATTTTATTGCATCAATACAGCATACGTTCAAATATTGTCAATGAGCATAAGGTTGCAGTACTATTTATTTTGTCACTCTTACTATATATATATATATAAAATATATAGACTTACAATTAGACTCGTTAGAATTCATGGTATATCTACTATTGACAGAAAGACAATAACTCTCTATTATTTTTAAAATAATTGCATCTTCTTCAAATTGACGATTATCTGTTAAAACAAGATAATAGTAGTAAATAACAGAATATTACTTAAATTTTATAATTCTGATTATATCTATTTATAAAAAAATAATAATTATTATTATTATTATTATATATGGATGTGTATTTACCAAATGTCTTGAGTGTATATAAAGGCGGGGCTGGACGTAACGAAGCAATACTCCAAGGTGTTTTAATCCCTGGAGATAAACAATGATCCACTGCCGACCGTTGGCGCTTCCCGTTCGTCTGACTGTTCATCTATTAAAAAATATAATTCAACGTAAACATTAATTTAATAATAACTTAAAAAACAATTTGATTAAATCTACAACGAATAACTATATGAAGCATTTATAGAGCACACGCCCTACCTACAAACAAATATTCTAAACTAATAAACAAAGAGAAGTGGGCACAATGCATATATTCATCATCAAACGAATGTAAAAAGGATGAAGAATAATAATAATAATAATAATTATGATCGTTTCTACGTGATTCATGTTCCTTTCCAGTTATATGTATGTATTTTATGAATCATATGAATGTTATGTTAGCAAAGCAAAAGCATTCTTCACACAACATGGCTGTGAAATATAAGCATAAAATCCTTGATGACCAATGACTATTAGTGGTGAAAAATCAGTGAAGGAAATCAATCCAATTGAAGATAGAGAGAGAGAGAGAAAAAAAAAAAGGTAAAAAAATAAACAGCCATGCCATGGAAGCTTGCCTCGTTCTGTGCATCCTGATAATGGAATTGTTCTCTTGAGCCACCAATGAGCATATAATCCTGATCTATAAACTTGACCCGTTTGTTCGGGTTGTTCTTCGATAGTTGGTTGCACTGGACGGACCATTTTTTTTCCCTTTCTTTTAGAATAACTTTGATGTAATTGTGGTATTGGTTCAGTAAATCTTTTGTGCTTAATATTTTCATAATCTTTAGCAGTAACCATAATATTTGTCTCTTCTTCTTCTTCTTCTTTTTTCATATTATCAAATGCATCTTTATTAACATTTTTTTTAATATAGCTGGAAGAAGTCATTACCGTATTCGATGTTTTATTAATATTTTCCGTAGAAGGGAATGAACGTTCGCTATCTCTGGGTGTAGAACCAAATGGGGAAGTACAAATGCATTGATTTTCAAATTTATTTTCATCAATGTCGCTTTCACTGTGGGATGCTCTTACTGGATCAATGTATTTACTATGACTGGATCTGTGTGATTTGTAACAAGAACCAAGTTCAGTTGAATTTAAATGAAAACTTTCAGCCATTCCAGAATCCGATGAATGCACACTGGTAATAGGACATAAACGTTGATCATTTCTTAGATTTCCATTATCAGCTGTGTTTACAGGTGTTACAGAATCTCCAATATTGAGATTAGAAATGTCTGGTGTTTTAGGATAAAGCTCGACAACATCCCAACATTTAATAGTACCACCATAAGGCATCATACGTTCACGTGGTATATCTAAATTTTCTCGATAATAATCATGTGTACGCGGTAATAAAATTGGTACAGTAGATGTACTCGTAGAAAGTAATATGTTTGGCAGGACGTGGCTCGTAGCACGGCCAGCAGGTAAACTTTTGCTGGTTTCAAACGAAGAACGATCTCCATAAGCAACGGCGGCCCTCGATGCGAAGTTCGTGAGAGAAGTACTTTCTAAACCTAAGGCACTGAGATCGGTATTTCCAACCTCGTATCTGACATCAAGTGTTAATGTAGATTTACGTAATTCTTTTGGTGGATCCTGAGTAGTTTCATTATCGATAATAGTATCACAATCTGAATTACATTCGTTACTTTTATTAGGAAAAATAGTATACGTCACGTTACACCTTCTCATTTTAACGCTACTTAAATCTGGCTTTAAAACGTATTGAATGTAAAGCAATTTTTTCATTAATTCATTTTCTATTATTTTTTTCCTCACGAGCTTTGCAAAATACCTCGAGAGCCGCGTATACGGAGGATGATTGTAACTCACTCGAGGCATTGTCGGTGATTTCAATATATTGGTAACTTTTTCTTGAGCTAGAAGCTCAATCCAACGTTGCCTTTCTTCTTTACTTGTACATAATACTGTTATATTTTCAATCATTGGTCCTACACACACACAGAAAAAAAAACAAATAATATATATTTAATATTTATTTGTATGTATGTATAAATAACTCATACCCGTTATTTCAAAAGCATTCCTTATTTCATCGGTATCTTCAGTTGCCAATACATTAATGCCTGTCAATGGAAGCTTTCCCTAAAAATAGTTAAACGTGCATAGACAAATTCATCTAACAATTTTTTGTAATAATTCTAGTACCTCATAAATAAAAGAACTCATTCGTGGACTGGTACTCAACACTAATAACGTAGCAGGAAATAAAACAAAGTATCTATCCCTTTTATCAACTCCTGTTGCTAATGTAACTGATCCAACATGAAGAATTTCACCAAGAGAACTTAACTCTTCACCTTCCCAACCTTTAATACCACTAGTCAATACCTGTAGTGCTAATTCACGTTGTTTACGTATTGAAGAACAAGAATCCTGTTAATGATATCAATTAATAATAGAACTATCTTTTTTCCATTGGATAATTTTTGATCTAATTTAATGATAAATATTAATTATACCGCTATTTCTCTATAAACTGCTATACTTCGTTGTGTATCTCCTCTATCAGGATGATTTTTCTCAGTGTATCTTTCTAATTCTTGTAACATAGCAGAATACTTGTCTAGTCTTCTAAACGGCTTACTAAGACCAGTAGTTAAAACTAATATACCTGGAGTAATTGCACCACTATCTTCCATAAATTCATTTAATTCATCTCTGTAAAAAAAAAAAAACTCATTCTTATAGATATAAGAAAATAATATTAATATTATGATTCTCTTACCTGTATCTATCAAGAATGCAAACAGCTTGTGGATGATTATTGCAATATGCAGTATGAATAGATTTTAATCTTGGAGCAAGTGTTAAAAACAAATTTCCTATTCTACCAGCTACACCTTGTAGAATGGTATTTTCTAAATTTGTAAGAAGACGTTGATGCATTTCCAATACTTCATGTATGTTACCTAATAATTGTTTGTACTCTTCTTTTTTTAATCTACGATTAAATTTCACTCTATGCAATCATTTGTAACATAATGTTAAACAGATATTAAATGACAAAAGGAACCTACATATTTGATGTTTCTAGTGGTTGCAAAAAATTAGTAACTAAGCCTTGTAATTCTGCTACGTTAATTCTTTCCGAATCAACAATGTCTTTTATAACTATATCACGATTAAGTTTTTGATGAACAGGTGACTCTGGTAAACCTTTTTCTGAAGTAACTTTAACAGAAGATAATCCATTATCTGTAATGATATAGATCCTTACATAACAAAGCTTTAATATCAAATGTGGATTATTTATTAATGTAGATACTGAATTGAATGCATAAAAATGATAAATATCTCTCACCGGGTACTCTATGCTCTTTAACATAGTTGGATGGAAACCATCCAGTCTTATCATGCAACGTTCCTTCCCACCAACCTTCATCATCTGTTTGAGTTATGGTTATAATATCACCTTTCTTAAAACATAGCTGTAAAAATGATAATCCACATTTGAGCATGTCAATCATATTGTATTAATTTATTTATAAATAATTTGTTCTATTAGATAAGATTATCATCTTATAAACATACTTCATCATTATTCTTTCCTTTGAAGGAAAATAATGCTGTCACGAACTTTGGTGCATCAGGCTTTGACATAACTATAGATGTTTTTGAAATATCTTCTGGTTAAATATTCAAAATACGAATCACAGCATTTAAACATGCGAATATTGTAGAATAATCGAAACTATATTTTATGCACTTATGATGGTAAGTGCAGTGACAGTAGAATTAACTACTTAAAATATTCTATTATTTACATTATTATAACAATACCAGAAGGTTATCTTGTATCCATTAATAAATATGACACATTATGATTTTAATTAGGTCCAATCACACTGAATTCTATCTATATAATGCTTGTAAAGTGCAATTGCAGACATTACATTTATATATCATGCCAAACTATAACTTGCCACACAATATTCTATAAATAACTCGGCCTTTGCATCACATGACCATGTTTATTGGTATTTTCTTGACAGCGCCATGCTCATGGAATGACACTAATTCTTAACATTCTTTTTATCTTTTTTTTATTTTCTTTTTTTTTACAAATTATTTTTTTGTTTGTTTGTTATATAATTATTAATAACAATATTACAAAATCTGATAAATTCTTTACATTATAAAATTATTCCTAGGAAAAGTTTGATTTTGCAATTTATATAAATAACAATGTTGATGTAATACTTTATTTTATTTTCTTTTTTTAATTATGTCAACAAAATAATAATATTAATAATAATATTTATAATTATTCATTATACATTGAAAATATATTTGTCAAGAAAATATTTTCAAAATAAAATGTTTAATTAATTTGAAAATATCCAATTGTGACAAAGGAAAATAATCCACCAATAAGAACGAAGGATTTTAACCGCTGACCAATTAAAACGTTAGATTCTAAAAGCTGATCAAATTTATTAGGAGGGAATAATGAAGTGTGAAAGTAGTTTTAAAGTCAGTTTATAATTATATTTTAATTTATATACATTTATTATTTATCTTGTTTACCCTGCAATTTGTTTAAAAAACAAAACAAAAACAAAGTAACTTCATTTGTGCATTATTTTATGTATTTTAAAATATACAACAAGTGTAAGTTTTTCAATGAATTAATAATTTATGTTGCATATGATCAATTTTTGGTTAATTTTTGTTAACTTATTAAATAGATTTTTCGTTTGTTTATATATATATATATATAAAAAAAACAAATAAGTAATAATGTATATATATATATATATATATATATTATTAATATAATTAATGTATATGAATTTTTATTTAAATTCTGAGAAAATGAATTCTCTCAGTACGAATATTACATTTTATTTATTAAAAATCACTAATTTTTGTTAATACACAGATACTTTCTTTCATTATATACATTACATACATTATCATTAGAATATTATATATATATATGTTTTTTTTTTATATACACAGGTAGTGGAAAATAAAAAGTTCGTGCCTTTTATAGCAGTAATTTCGATGATCGTCATAGCAATCTTCACAACTTCACATCTTCTTACTACTACTACTACTACGTTTTACGTTGGAATCGCATTGGTAAGTTTTAACATAAATTCATTATTTCTTTTTCTTATTTTCTTATATATATATATATATTTTTTTTTTTATTTTTTTTTCTAATTCGACTTATATATATTTATTTATATTTATATATAAATTTACTGCGCATATATCGTAATTCGTATGTAATTGAAATAATTCGTTTTAAAATCAAAAGTATCACACATATGTATTGGCATCTCTAGCACTTGAATACGCTACCTGGTGGCTAAATTCAAAATTATAGTAGATAGGTCGAATTTTTTTTGCTACGTCACGTCCCTGCCAGAGGTCCCAATACATTTGATAGAGTTCCAATTTGTTATTTATTTTATTTTTATTTTATGGGGATTCAAAAGTTTAAGATTTGTGTTTAAACTATATATATATAAAAATATTATATTATATTTATATATAATATAATATTAATATTTATATTAATTATAATTATATTATAATTAATATTATAATATATTATAATTATATTATAATATATATAATATATTATAATTAATATTATAATATATTATATATATATATATAAAAAAATAAAAATAAAAATAAAAAAACAATTGTGTACATTAAATGTTTTTATCTCTAATGATGATATAAACTATTATGGGATTTTAGATGAATTCTTTTTTAGTTTGAACTCAAAACGAAATATTTTTTGTTACGTACTCGTCAAAATTATAAACGTTTTTTGTTTTTCTTTTTCTTTTTTTTTTTTCTTAAACGAATTTTCAATTTAAAATTCGAGTCAATTTTAATTCTTTTCTTTTCTTTTTTTTTTTCTTCTTCTTTTTTTTTACTTTGTTCTTCTATTAAATCTTTTCACGATAAAAGTTTATTTTTAATTATGTTATATTTTTTTTTTAAATTTGACTTAAGTGTATGTGTGTATGTGTGTGTGTGTGTGTGTGACATAGAATATTAATTCTATTTTGAAGAAAAATAAAATATTGTATCGTAAAAATTCACGGGAATTGTCACGATTTTGAACAAAATTTACAATGAAAGAGTTTTTCCTTTTTTTTTTTCTTTCTTTCTTTCGATTATCTTCAAAATTAAATAACCAAAAAAAAAAAAAAAAGAAAGAAAGAAAGTACGTATAGCTCAAAATTAAACCCTATTTTCTAGTTACTTTTAAATAATTAAAAAATATTGCCTCGTTTTCCCATTGGTTATTGATCATTTTCCCATTGGTTACTAATCGTCTGTTTATCTCGCACTTTTTCAAATAGAAGTTTTTATTTTTTCTATTTTTTTTATTTTTTTTATTTTTTTTATTTTTTCTTCTTCTAATTTTTATCATCGGACACAATTAAATTTGTAACGAAGATAAATTTTTTTGATAAATCACAGTATTTTTCTCTTTCTTGTTTTTTCTTTTTTCCCCCGTTCCCTTCCCCCCCCCTCTTTATACTAAAAAATATAAAATTTGAATTATAATCATTTTAATTTGTTTTATTAAATTTCTTTATTTTATATTTTATCCAATTTTGGTTATTAAAGGAAGACAAAATTATTCTAACCGACAAGTTTCATATTCGAATCGTGTTTAAAAAAAAAATATATCTTACAAACCTGCACGTGAGTGTGTCTGTATGTGTCTGTCTGTATATGATTGTGTATGATTTAGTATGTGTGTATGTCTGTGTATGTCTGAATGTGTATAGATATTGTTTAATAACACTTTGACTGCCATGTTGGTCACGGTTTCTCCTGAGATACTACGGTGGTCATTGTTAACTTGAACGTATGAACCTTTTACAATTGTAAATAACTAAAATTAATAATAATAATTAATAAATTAATAAATATTAATTATATTAGGTCGAGTCATAAATAACTTCCGTTTTTTATGAGACAAATAATGGCGTTTCTGCAACTGCTAAATGCAAGACACCTTTCATGGAGGTTTTTTTGTTTGCACTTTTTGCAATTGTTCAACGTGTCTATTGGATTTTGCTCTCAATATTACCTTGAAAAGTTTCATTAAAGTCGAAAATACATCCCTGCACTCGGTTCATCTTTTAAGATCGTATCTCCAGAAACGGAATTTGACAAACCAATTTCTGACTGCCCTATCAGTTATCAAGTCCTGCACTGTATAAGCTGCATATTTTTTCGGTTGCCACTTTAGTGCTAATTGCCTTGTTTCAATTCTTAAAGCATTACATGTCGAATATGTACGTTTTACTATCCATTTCAGTGGTTTAAGGAAAAACGGTTAAATGTAACATTGACTGTATAAAGAAATATGTGTGCAGATCACACGTGTTAGAAGTGAAACCTTCAAAAAACTACATTTCGAAAGAATGAGACGAATACAAAATATCTGCTATAGGATAATTGTATTCTCTTCTTATTTAGTATCACGGCCGTTTCATTGGCTCCCACCGCTCCGTTTCATAGCCGCCTACCGTTCCGTTACATTTTTTCAGATCACACCCATTCTAAAGAAGTTTTTACATGAAAAAGTTGACAGAAGACTAAACTGAATCCTCATCTATCTAGTGATATCGAAAATCCGTTTGTTTCGGTGACTTATAATAGGTAAATACGAAAAATAGATTCTACATAACCGCATCGGAAGTTATACTTATGACTCGACCTAAAATAATTAATAATAATAACATGAAAATTAAAAGTTAGTGTATTTGAATATGACCAATATATAAAAAATACTTTGAAATAAAAAGTGTGTCCTATTGAAACATTACCATTGTTTATTAATATGAATTTATTATTAACCAGTTAAGCGTGTTTGACGACTCTATCCATCATAGATATGTGACAAAACTTTCTCTTATGACGTCTATATCCGTCATGCGTAAAAGTTTCTTACAATTTGATGATTTCAATTGTAATTTTCTCTAATTTTACATTACTAACATGTATATTATATTACTAACTGTTCATTTTTTAAAATAAAGTCGGTCTTTTTGACTATCCAATATTTCAACAGAGTGCCACTTACTCTGTGTTTGACGATTATATCCGTCATCGCTTGATTATCGCGACACACACTGGATGGAGCGCACACTCTGCGCACAGATCATCGGCACACACTTAACTGGTTAATTATTTTTTCTATTGTATTGTTTGAATAATAAAAATAATACCATGGTGTGTCCCCTTGACCAAATCATATGATTTCAACGTGACAGTCAAAGGTTTAATGAAAAATTGTCCCACGTGACGAATGAAATTTCCTATGTTCTAAGAGAAAAGATGTTACTCTTCTTATTATTCGTTACAAATTAATATTAACACGATAAATTATTCACCAATGACAAAAGGAACGTTTTTTTTTTCGTTTTTTTTTTTCTTTTCTTTTCTTTTCTTCTTTCTCATCGATAAGAAGAAAAAAAAAATCAAGCGAATGCATGAATACGAGCTAAGGAATCGTCATTATTAGATCCATGATGATTACCTTGCTCGTTTCGTTCGCCATCATAATCCGTTGGTCATATAGAATGTTGAGGAGGTGGTAACATAATTTCGTAACCCGTTGGCATACTCTGCTGATGATGATGATGATGATGATGGTGATGGGTACTAGACATCATTTGATGATGAGTCTGTTGATAATATTGATGATGCATACTGCTGTGACTTGGATAATAAATTGAACTTTGTTCCATGTCCTTACCTGAACAAAAATCAATGACAAGTAAATTAATGATGCATTTCTTCAAGTTAAAACATTATTATTAATAATAATAATAATAATAATAATAATAATTAATTATTTAATTAAAATAAAAAAGTAACCCACCACTTTCATAAACGCTACGACCATAGCATAAAGCTTTGACATCGTTCATGGGACTAAGACCACCATTATGTGGATGAGCCGTGTGTACGGAGGACGGTGTTACGGGAGTAGCATAACCATGATGATGAGGCGCCATAGGACTCATTCCCATTGGACTACATGAATTCATTGCTGCCGGTGACATTCCCATCGTTGATAAAGGTGACATCGCTAAATTTGGACTATCCGAATCGATGCTTTGCAATGATTGCATACTACCACCATTGCTCACCGAATTACTAATTGTGTTGCTCGATGTGCTTTGACAATTGAGCGGTAACATGTCTCTGAAAAAAAAAAAAAAAAAGATAAAACAGTAATATCAGATTAAGGTTAGCTAACACTTGTTCCTTAAATCATATTTGAGTTCCAGGGGGGTAGTAGAAAAAAAAAACACTGTCGAATTTTTCGTAAACAATGAACGAAATGTGTCGGGTTTTTTTCATTCAACATAAAATCTCAACAGCGTTATCATGCTGTTTGGGACTGAAACGGTTAAAAAATTACTTTAAAAAAAAATATCTTTCTAAAGAGGACAAATGTTCCCTTTCATTTCTTTTTCCCCTTAAAAATCATCTGTCCAAAAACAAGGACTAAAAAAAAAAAAAGGTAAAGATTCACGGTCACGAAAAATAAACTTTCTAAAAAACAGATTACCATAAATCTTAGAAATGTCGAATAAATCATACGACACACTGTTAGTATTGTTTGAAAAGGAATTAATTTAAGGGTTTTTACCTTAAAAAAAAAAAAAAAAGAAAAAATTTTTCAAGAAAAACCTAAAACGATTAGTTCGTAATTTACGTGACAGTAAAAAATATGAGAGAAAAAAGAAAAACAAATACTTTTGCATTTAAAAAAAAAAAAAAAATTCATTTGAAGAATGCCTTTGTTTTTTCTCTT